TTCAGCAGCACACGCACGCACTCACACACTCTTGCCTGAGCACACACTGACACACACTCTTGCCCATACGCACTAACACACTCACACACTCTTGCCCGAACACGTACCGACACACTCTTGCCCGCATGCACTAACACGCTCACACACTCATGCTCGAACACACACCGCCCACACACTCACCGGCGAACGTCTGTAGGCCGTGCACTTTTGTGTGGTCAGCACATCAAAGGTACAATTTTCCACCCCAGGGACCCGCCTGCTTTCCCACCCAGACCCAGACCCCAGCCGGCTTCCAGCGCAGACCTGGGGCCTTGGTGCAGAGGCTCCGGCCACTCACCTGGCGCTGACTGCGCCGGACACGCAGGAACTTGTAGGCGAACTCATCCTCCTGCTGCTCGTTGAACTGGAACACGGCGAACTCCACGCAGACGGTGAACGGCGGCATGTTCTTATCGATGTCCACAAAGGTGCTGCTGCAGACGTGGGTGCCCAGCACGATGAGCCCCACAGCGAGGGCCACCTGCTGCAGCATGGCTGTCCTGATGGCAGCTGCCCAGGGACGGGGGACGCTGCCGCTGCGGGGGACACCCCTCCCAGCCGCGCGGCCTTGAGCTGCTGACTGCCTCCCTCTAGCGGCTCCTCGTCCAGAGTCTGGTCTCCACTCCCCCAGCCACCGCCTCCCACGACTGCCACACAGAAGGCAGGGGAGGTCACTTCTCCACTCTGTGGTCACGTACACCTTGGACATCTATCGCCTGCTTGTTGTTAGACCCCAGCCCAGCCCTGATGAGACCCAGCCGCGCGGCCTTGAGCTGCTGACTGCCTCCCTCTAGCGGCTCCTCGTCCAGAGTCTGGTCTCCACTCCCCCAGCCACCGCCTCCCACGACTGCCACACAGAAGGCAGGGGAGGTCACTTCTCCACTCTGTGGTCACGTACACCTTGGACATCTATCGCCTGCTTGTTGTTAGACCCCAGCCCAGCCCTGATGAGACCTGGTGGGGTCTTGACCCCAGCTGGCCTGCCCTCACAATAGGACATCTTCAGGCTGGCAGTGTCAACAGAGCCCTTAGGAATTATGGAGGCCCTAAGTCCAGGACCAGGTGTGCCTGTGACCTTTGGCTGCAGCCCCTGCCTCAGAGAGTCTTTGGGAGTACAGGGTGAGGGGGCTAGGCGCTTCCACCCCTTCATTTCTTTCTCTTTTTTGGAGAGGTTTTTGGTATAGGGCACGTGCGCTCACCAGAGAGACAGACAGAAAGCGAGAAAACATCCCCCAAGGGGGCTGGCCATGCCGCAATCCCTTCTCCTCCATTCTCCTCTCAGGATCTTGGGCACTCATGCACACGCACCCAGCATGAATTTAAGCCACCAGGTCCGGGGCTTGAACTGTGGTCGATTACATGGGAGTTCAGTGACATAGCCATTATGCCAACTGCTGGTCCCCCCGTCCCCTCATTTCTGAGACCTGCTAGCCAACTTGCTATCTCCCCTGATGCCCTGAGATCTGGCTTTGTTCTACTCAGTGGCCAAATGGGGTCTAATACACCTGGGGTGGGTGGTGAGAACTCCCAGGATGAGAGGGAAGCCGAGTCCAAGGCAGAGTTCCATGGGGGTGAGTGTGGGTGGCAGGTGTGGAGCGGGACGGAGCAGGTCTGGGGAAGGGACAGCGTAAGTTTTAAGCCACCGAGTCTGGGACACAAACTGCAGGTGACTACGTGGGAGTCCAGCGACATAGCCATTACACTAACTGCTGGTCCCCAAGCCAGCAAACTTCTGAGGAAGAGGAATGAGGACAAGAGGCATGAAGAGTCACACAGCCCTGGCCACACAGCGGCTCAGGCCTCACTCCCAGGAGTCTGTGGTCGGGCACAGGTGGTCACGGGACAGGCCACCCTGACTACCACCCATGGACAGTGGACACTTGGGACATAGACGGCCAGGTGCTCTGGGATGCAGCAGTCGCTCAGAGTGGGATAAAAAAACCATGATCATCCGACAAGCGGGCCGATAGAACTAAACAGCTCTCTGCAAAATGAATGAATAAGTAGACTGGGGCCTACACGTGGCATAGTGGTTAAGACACTGGACTTCCACATGGCTGACTGTGGGTCAAGCCCCAGACACGGTGGCCTGAAAATCACCAGGCATGTTAATATGAGTGCCCAACATGCTGAGAGGAGACTGGAGAAGGCATTGCAGCATGGCCATCCTCCCAAGGACTGATTTCTTACTTCTCCTCTCCCTGTCTCTGTCTCTCTTCCGTGAGTTCACACACGCTAGTGCAAAAATGATAATAATAATAATAATAAATACATAAATACTTTGATCCTCAGGTCCCCCTTTGACTAACAGAAGTTCCAGGCGAGCTCACCGAGTACAAAGAACATTTATCAATGCCCCTCTGACAGCCAACACAGCCACCTTGGGTGCCCCCAGACCCGAGTCCTCTCAAGATGCTGGCTGTGTTAAGAGAAGGAGGACTGCCCATGAGTGTGGGCATTGGGGAGCACAGCTGTTGGGAACTACCGTTTGCCTTCCAAGCAGTGAAGCAGGACTCGTCATCTTTGCCCCAGATGGCTATAACTGCATCGGAGGTACCTACGAGGGATGGGGGAGACCAGCAGAGTCTGCCCTAAGGGGACTGTCACACGCTCTCGCAGAAATGCAAGCTGGGAAGTGTAACAAGTGATGTTGTAACATCGGTATAAAGCCTTTGCCTCAATTATTTAATTGTCACAACAGCTGCATGGATGTGGACTATTTACACCCATTTTACAGACGACAGCACTGAGGCTGAGGGTTGGCAACTTGCCCACAGCCACATGACTGGCAAATGCGGAGCCTGGTGGGAGCCCAGCCAGTCTGACGGCGCTGTCTCAGAGGCCAGAGGCAGCCCTGAGAAGCAATCAGAGGACATCCCTGCACGCTTTGATGGGTGTATGCCAAAGGCGTGGCATTCACATCGGCCTGGGCAGAGGGACAGCCAGGCTAAACCAGGAGAAACTTCTGGAGGAGATCGCCCCTGAGCAGAGCAGGAAGATGAGCAGATGCTGACGACGTGGAGGAAAGGGAGAGAATGTTCAACAGGAGCCCCCTCACCCCCCAAGACTGAGCTACAACAGGCATGCTGGAGACGGGGCAGAGGACCTGGAGCCCCAGGAAGTTGATAACCCAGGGTCCTTAAATGTCGGCCCCCTGTGATGAGAGGAGAAGTCACACGCCCTAGGGAAGGCGAGGAAGGGCTCCCCAACTGAGAGCCCAGTGCCTCCTCTGTGGCCCCGCAATTCCAGCCTCTCTGGCCCCAGACCCACAGAACAAACCCGGTCAAACCAGAGTCCCACAAGAAGTGCCACCTTCAAGGGTTTGGCAAGCGTCCTGACAAACACACCTTCGTCCTCCTCACCAGGGCTCAGCGAGACACGCTAGTACTTGTGCCTGTCTAATGTCCCCTTCCGTCCTCACTGACCCAGGGAGCTACTGGGTCGGAGAGAACGGCATTTCTGGGACACGAAGAGTTTGGGCACGAAACCTGGATGCCATCAACTCTCCAGAATTCAGAGCCGCCCAAACACAGGGAGCTGTGAAGTTGTCACAGGGCGGGAACGTTCGTCCGCTGCAAGCAGAACACTTACAAACCCTGGTGGAAGGGGTGTGAGCACTGCAAGCCGGCTGGCTGATCTCCCCGGCCCGCTCCTCCGTCTGGAAGTCAGCAGCTGGCGGCCAGCACACCTTCCAGCACCGCGTCCCCAAGCCTGCAGCTGCAGGGACAGAGGCCAGTCCACAGGCCCCGAGCCTCAGTGCTCTGTCCGAGGTTGGGCAGGGAGGGCATCACTTCCGCTGTCTGTCTCAGCACTGTAACACCTGCAGCAGGGGTAAGAAAGCAGGAAGAATGGGGTCCCCCTGGAAACATGGATGTGACTTCGGTCTGTACCACCGCAAAGAGGCCGTGATGGGAGTGGAGCCGAGATGTGCGTGGAAGGCTGGGAGGACATGGTGACAGACTTTGGGGCTTCTGAGGGACAGGAGAGAGGGCCCAAGAGGGTGGTGGGAAGTGAGCAAAGGCAATGAGGCCTTCTCGGACTTGAGGAGTTTCATTTTACAGTGGGACTTTCTTCTTTTTTCTTTTCTTTTTTTTCTTTTTTTTTTTTTTGAGAAAATGTTGTCTTAGACCACGTGCACTCACCAAAGAGAGAGAGACAGAGACAGTAAGAGGGAAAGTGGTAAATTAACCCCCAGAGGGGATAGCCATACTGCAATCACTTCTCCTCCATTCTCTTCCCGGGATCTTGGGCATGCACACACGCATACCTGGCGTGATTTTCAAGCCACTGGGTCTGGGACTTGAACCACAATTGGCCATGTGAGAATCTAGTGACATAGCTGCTACACCATCTGCTGGTTCCCACAGTGGGATTTTCAAAGAAATTTCCAGCCAACAGCAGCAGTCCAGGAGCAGACCTCAAAATAAGGGTCCGAAACGGGAACCAGCAGTTAGCGTAATGGCTCTGTCGCTGGATTCCCACGTAGTCGACCATGGTTCACGTCCCAGACCCGGTGGCTTAGAACTCACGCCAGGCATGTGTGCGTGTGTGCCCAAGATCCTGAGAGGAGAAGGAATGAAGGAGAAGGGATTACAGCGTGATCATCCCCCCTGGGGGGTGATTTCTCACTTTCTGTCTCTCTGTCTCTGTCTGTCTGGTGAGAGCACATGCCCTATAGCAAAAACCTCTCAAAAAAATAAATAAATAAAAAATAAGGGTCCAAAATAAAGGCGAATATGGGCACTTCCTCAGGGAGCACTGAGCGTGGCCAGGTCTTGGTGGCTGAGGGAAGAAGAGGAGTTCTTAGTATGATATCGGATTCCGAGATCTAAAGGGATACACATTTTATAGAAATGGCGCTAAATGTTAAAATGGAATTTTTCATTAAAACGGGTTTCAGAAGGAGGTGACAGAGAACACCAAGTGTTTCACAGGGCGGGGAGAGGCCACCCGAATTGCTCCCTAGTGCCAACAAATGGAAGTGCCAGGACTTGGCAGGCAGAGAGGAGGCTGGGAGGGAAGTGTCTGACCCTCCCCAAGCTGAGCAGCAACTGAAGTCCCGCTCTCCCAGCCAGGCATCCAAGGAGGAGCTGGGTGGAACTGCTCCGAGCACAGACAAAGCTAGGGGAGGATGAGAGGGGTCCTCATGCTTCAGCCAAGAGGAGCCAGAGGGGTGCCGTGGTGAGCAGAAGCCGCTGACAGACTGGCAGAGACTGCCACGCGCCTGTGACAGGGAGACGTCCCCAGCCCCCAGCGTACCGCTCCTAACCCCAGGGCCCACAAGCCTGCTGCCTGCAGAGACAGGGACTTTGCTGGAGTGGCAAAATGAAGGATCTTGAGGTGGCGAGATTGTCTCCATTTTCCGAGTGTTTCAAGAGGGCAGTGGAGAGTCAGAGGAGGCTTGACCAGTGGGTCAGAGGTCAGAGAGTCGGAGAGAGACTGGAAGACACCACCCACCTGCTCTAAGGATGGAGGTCAGGGACAAGCTGAGCCATGCCAGCAGCC